CCCCGCCCCCCATCTGCCATCCTGTCTTCCAGGCCAGGCATCCTCGGTGCGGGACACGGGCAGGCGGCTCCCTGCACCAGGGCTCACCAAACCTGAACATCGCCAAAGAGACGCAAGGGCCTGGGCCCACTGTGAGGGGTTTGGCGCGAGCCTCCCCTCAAAGCAACCTGCCTCCAGGGGCCGGAGGGCTGACTATGCAGCCGTGTGGAGCCGGGGAGCGGATCAGAAGTGGGGGCCCTGGAGGTCCTCGTGCCCACTTTCCCCAAAGCAGCTCGAGGGCTTTGGCTCTGTGGACCGGTGCCAGGTGCCGCCTGGCCACAGGGTTCAGCTCACCCAGCGGGGGTCAGGGGTGAGCATAGGGAAGGCAGCGCCCAGCCCACACACCTGGGATGGGGGGAGGAGGGGGTGTGGAGGTGTGGCCTGGCCCCATCGCCCGGACCCGCGCGCCCACAGGGGACAGTGCGATTAAACAGTCCCCGGAACGCTGCCTGGTCAGCTGCCCTGGACGGTGGGGAGGGAGAGTGGCTCCCTGGCTCCCCACCCAGGGCTCGGGCCCTGGGAGGCGAGGGCCTGGCGAGTGAGGAGCAGGGCCAGGGGCAGGGCTGCCAGTGGCAGGGGAGGCGGGAGCAGGGCTCAGCTCACCTTTCAGAGAGAAGGAGGAGCTGCCTTGGAGCCCGGGCAGGGGCAGGTCCTCGGGGCCCTGCACGGTGGAGGAGTACTCCCAGACTCGCGACGTGTAGTTACCTGGGCGGCAAAGGGAAGGGTCAGGCCACCGCGGTCGGCCCGGGGCCAGAGCCAGGACGAGGCCAGTCCTGTGCCTGTCCAGTCCTCGCTGTGTCTCAAGCCAGGAGGACGCTGGGCCCACTCACCTCCTGCCAATCACAGCTGTCCTTCTGCACTGGGAGGTGCTGCGTCCTGCCCTCCCCCAGGCCCCGGCTGTCCGGCTTTCCGGTGAAGGTTCAAAGCCCACGGGACACGGCCCACCGTTCTCCCTGGCTGCTGCCCACCTCTCACCACAGACTCCACCTCCTGGCTCCCCCTCGCGCCCTCTCCATCGCTCATCATTCCACCGGCTGCACTCGGAGCTCCTCATACACTGCAGGCTCCCTCGTGCCCTGGCTTTTTGCACAGACCAGGCCTGGGGTACTCCCCATGCACCCCACTCTCAGCAAATCCATGTGCTGGTCTTCAGTGTCAGCTTCCATGTCACCTCCCAGTCTGTGTGAGCTCAGCCACGCCCCCCTCACCACCCGCCTGCCGGCGTCGGTGCGTGTTCAGCTGTCTGTCTCCCCACTGGGCTCCGAGGGCAGCATGGCACCCGTGCCCGGCACAGAGCCTGGTCCCAGAAGGGGCTCCTTGGATGGCTGACAGATGAAATGAACAAATAAATGCAAACACGGGCTAAACTTTAGAGACAGAGCAGCTGCTGCACCTCCTGGCACTCTGCTCACCAGGTGGGGCAGCTGGCACGTGTCCCTGCAGCCTGGAGAGAAGGAGGCAGCGGGGGGACATGCAGGACAGTGGGGGTCCTCAGGGCCTCTCTGGGAAAGGCCCCTCCTCTGGCCCCTCCCATCCAGCACGCAGGGTCCCAGTCCCGAGATTTCCCACTGTTGCCTGCAGGGGGGTCTGGGGCTCAGCAGTCAGAGGGGCTGGCTGTCCACCTGCTGTAGGCGAGCCCCACCCACAGGGTGCCCAGGAAGTCTCTGCAGTCTGGACCTCAGCCAGCACGTCCGCCCAAGGCTCTCAGGCCCATGGGCCCGGCCCCGTCATTCCCTCACTTATCCCCCCCCCCCCCCCCCCCCTCCCCGGCCGAGTCCCTTCGGGCCTGAGGTGGCAGCCGTGACGGACAGACCGAGCTTGGCCTCACAGTCTGCTGTGCGCGTGATGGTGCAATGGGGGCCAGTCCTGGACATGAGGCCTGGGCGCTGCCCGTCCAGGGGGCCCTGCCTCCAGATCCCCAGGACCTCGTTTTCTCTGAAGAGGCCCCGCCTGGCCTCGGCAGCCTGGCTCTGTGCCGGGGGCTGGGAGCTGGCTCAGTCTCCCCACTCCCTCTGCACGGGGCTGGGCAG